ACACACAACAGATGCTCCATCAATCACAAACATGCACATCATCACGTCATAAGTCAGAGGAAACTCGACAGGCAAAACCATTTATTACATTTATCTTTATGCATTATATCAGTAGCCTCAGAGATTACAGCTTCATCACTGACCAGGAGATGAAGGCGCTACAGACAACAATTGCCCGTCAAGACATGCATCACGCGCCCTCAACCACAGCCAGAGACGCCGCCATAACTCACGCCATGCCAGGAGGAAATATGCGGCTCGTAGCTTGGGTCGTGCATCAACACGGGTCGTATGAGTCCGGTGAAATATGCAGGCTTCAGGCTCCTCTCCCACCCTGACTGAGAGGCCTGATATTACTCAGGGAACACGGGCTTCCAGCACTGCTCGCCCAACACGTCCTCTTAAAAATAACGTCACTTTTGGCTCGTATGCGCACTATGGCCAAATTTGGACGTAATTTGAAATGAAATCGACTCACAAAAGTGACGTACAGTACTGTTACGTTTTCTGTTCGAGTAGTCCGGCCCTCCTCGGACAGCTTAGAAGAGGAATTTTCAATTAACGTTTTTCATAACGTTTTGAAACTTTATGAGAATTTCCTGCCCACCTAACCTATCAGAGGACCCTTAACTTACTGTTGTTGAAAAAAAAAATCCCAAATTTATTTTCAATTTGTTTTCATTTTCAAATTACGTCCATATTCGGCCATACGGGCAAACGGCCAAAAGCGACGTTCTTTTTAAGAGGACAGGTGAGCGCCAGACACACCAATAATCAAGTACACATAGGCTCACCACCCTCTCTGCCAGGAGACTCACCCAGGTGGTTCAACAGTACTCTGGTTAATCTCAGCGTAAATGAGCCTCATCGCCAAACAACCTACTTGAGGGCTCATATACATTGATTAGACGAGGCCTGAAAGCATAGTCATCTCTGCCTCCTTAACCTGACTCACCTGACTAGAAGTCATACAAACCCACAAACCTCATCAGTCACTGGATATACACATCCTCTGGGTGCATGGCTGTTGCAAATACAACATTTGCATAATGCCAACACCAGTTGGTGGAGCATCACTCAAGAGCTAAACGCCCAAATCAAAAGCTAAAATCAAACAGAGTAAACAGTGTTGACGATTCTCGGATACTTCCGCAGCGTTGTCAACACTACCAGCCATTCGCTAATTAACGACAAACACGCGCGGAAATATTTTCCCGTGAAATAAGCAAATGTTTGTGTGTCGGCTTATATCCCGCGGCTAAGTGATCATCTTTGGATAACTTTCCATATACATAAAGATATTCAAATATTAACAAAAAAATGAACCTATGAGAAGACTATCAGTGAGCCTCCAGAATTTCGTAATATTTTACAGTGAATTTGATTCCCGGTAGGAAAGGGTGAGAGTGTGGCTCAGAAACGTGTCTCTAGTGCTAATAGATAAATCCCGCTCCGTCCATAGCTTACATGAAGGTCTTGCTTCAGCCAGTGTTGTAGCTGTGAGGCTCAAGGTCATGCTTCAGCCAGTGTTGTAACAGTAAGGCTCTCAAGGTCTTGCTTCAGCCAGTGTTGCAGCTGTGAGGCTCTCAAGGTCTTGCTTCAGCCAGTGTTGTAACAGTGAGGCCACAAGGGCCCTGAGCTACGACAGGGTTTTTTACCCTGTCGTAGCTCAGTCGATTAACGCAGTGTCTGGGATGCTCCCGGACGCAGGTTCGAAAATCCTCGTCACGGCCCTTGTGGATTTGTTCATTTGATGCATCACGTTAGTGTGATCTCTGTGTGTAGTTATGGAGACAGGTTCGGCGTGATATCAACCCTCAGATCCTTCTCTCTGACGTTTCATGGAGGATTTCATCTCACATTTGGTACCCCTGAGTCTAGCTTCCTGCGTCTTCCGCCCTTCTTCATTACATTTACTCGGGTTTAACTTTAGTAGCCATTTGATGAATCTTTCCTTTAGTTTGTCCAAGTCAGGTTGTAGCCTCTTGTCGTTTTCTTCTGTCCTCATCCTCATCATAGCTTTTGCGTCGTCAGGAAACATTGAGATGAGTGTTTCCACACGAAGATCATTTACATATTTGAGGAACAGGATAGGTCTAGGAACTGAACCGTGTTTGACTCTCCCAGTGACATCTCACCGCTCAGAGATCTCACCCGTCACAGTGACTCGCTGTCTTCTGCTGCTTAGATGCTCCCTTATTTACTAGAATAACTTTTCCTGTCTGCCGCTCGGCTCCCGCAGCCGAGCAGATAGCGTTCGGGAGTCGTAGTCCACAGGGCCTGAATTCGCTTCCCAGTTGAGGCAGAAACATATGGGCAGTGTATATTTCATCTGATGCTTCTGTTCACAAAGCAGTATACAGATACCTGGAAGTTGGACAGCTGCTCGTGGGCTGTACAGTGGGAATGTGTGAGAAATATATAAAGAAGACTCCCGAAAATAAGTCGGGAATCGGTACATTGGACATCCGACGGTTGAAAGGCAGAGCCCATAAGGTAACAATTCTGCAGGCACACATAGTAAATATAAATATTAAACACATTTGGCCCTACCTCTCCCCCAGCCCCCCGCGCACTCAACAGTGTAGCGACCCCGCCACCTTTGCACCATTCTCCCTCTTTAAGCTGGATCTTTTCACCTCTGGTGTAAAAGTGTTTGCCTGCTCCTCTTTAACACAGTCAAGGGTGTTCATTCCCCGTGTCCTCCCTGCACTGTCTTTACAATTTGTTGCACTTCACTCGCGTGGCGCAGTAATTTGTTGTTCATGATATGCTGCTTCAGTTTCATTTAGAAGTGGGGGGGGGAGGGGGCACGTATTATTATTACACAAAGAAATCCCATTAACGTGATATAATAATGAGAAGGAGTCGTGTGGAGGACTCAAACCTGCACACTAGGTACTGCCAAGCACATGCCTCAGACCACTTAACCACACCTTGCTAAAAGCAATGCAACCTGGAAGTCGCCTGGAAATCACGTAACGTCAAATATCAATGAGAAAATTAATTGGGACCCGCTAGGGGATTCAGTTTTTCAGAGGATTCAGATCCTTCAGATTCAGAGGATTCAGGCTAGAGGAATCCCAGGTAGCATTTGTTTTAGCATGTCTTTGTCTAGTGGGCTAAGACATGTTCTGGGGAGTACCCAATGTCCAGGTTCGAATCCTCCCTCAGGCCTCCTAATGTTATTATTATTATTATTATTAATGATGATAAAGAAAATCAGTAGGAGTCATGAGGAGGATTCGAATCCTCTCACTTGGGACTCCCAAGCTGGCGACTCAGACCACCACGCCACAACATGGCCAAAAGCAATGTAACCTGGGATTCCACTGAATCCTCTAACATGCCTGAGGCTTATAACTCAAGCCTAATCAGTTTTTTTTTTTTTTTTTTTTTTTTTTTTTTTTATATACAAGAGTTGTTAAATTCTTGTACAGCCACTAGTACGCATAGCGTTTCGGGCAAGTCCTTAATCCTATGGTCCCTGGAATACGATCCCCTGCCGCGAAGAATCGTTTTTTCATCCAAGTACACATTTTACTGTTGAGTTAAACAGAGGCTACAGTTAAGGAATTGCGCCCAGTAAATCCTCCCCGGCCAGGATACGAACCCATGACATAGCGCTCGCGGAACGCCAGGCGAGTGTCTTACAACTACACCACGGACACTGCTTTAAGCAACTCATGTTTGGTGCGGCTCTGGTGGGGAACGGAAGGCGTGTGAGCTCAGCTCGTCCTCCTAAAGTTTCCCAGCGTCAAGAAACTGTCGTACTAAAGTGCCCTCTCATAACCTACCAGAGAACCTAAAACAGAAAACGGGACAGAATGTCAATTTCGCGAGCCGCTTCCATTTTCTAGTATGACGAATTTTGGCATTAGGTGAAATATGTGTCAAAATGCGACGCTCTATAAGGCTGCGAACAACCGAACTTTTAGATAATGAACATCTATTTTATTTTATAATGTGACTTAGGGTTCACACACAGCTTTACTAAGCTAATCGTCTGGCAATTAATTGCCTGGCATTCAAGTGTTACTTCGACTGTCAAGTTACCTTTCCAGTGGAGGGACTCCACGCCAGAGACGTCTGGGGTCCGGTAAAGTGTCCAGGTAAGTGTCGGGTCTTATATTAACTGTAGCTCCACCCTTCTTCCCGCTGGTGTTGTCTCTCTCGCCACACACCATTACCATCACTGCTGAGGGAGCCGTCTCCTTTCATCTGAGAGACACAGCCAGTCGTAATGTTGTATACCAGGCAACTGTTCAAAGAGGCCAAAGAATCTGTTACAGGGGCCAAAGAGTCTATTACAGGAGCCAGAGAGTCTATTACAGGGGGCCAGAGAGTCTATTACAGGGGCCAGAGAGTCTATTACAGGGGTCAGAGGGTCTATTAGGGGCCAGGATTACAGGGGCCAAAGAGTCTATTACAGGAGCCAGAGAGTCTATTACAGGGGGCCAGAGAGTCTATGACAGGAACACTTTTTATTTCAGGGGGACACAGAGTTTTTCAGAGTCCAAGGGGGAAGGGGGGAGAGAATCCGTCACTAGGGACAGAGAAAATGTGAGTCATGGTTCATAGAATTTTTATATTTTTTCCGTGACGGGGATGAAACAGAAGTCAGTCACAGAGGCCAAAAGAAATTTCGTGCCAGAGAGAAAAGTGTCACAGCGACTACAGTGAGAGACGCCACGGGAGCCATAAGCTACTGTGGCCTCATCCTCCAGAAAGAAACTTTATCACCACAAATGACTTCTCTCGCTGGACTGAAGAAAATTACAAGAAACTAAACAGGACTTGTGGCAAATTTCAAAAAGTTTGCGCTGAAAGTTCCACACCAACAACATAAACATTTGAAGCCGTAGCCCTGAGAGAGAAGGTAAAAGGAGGAGTGAGAGGGAGTGAGGGAGAGATGAGAGAGGGAGTGAGGGAGAGATGAGAGAGGGAGTGAGGGAGAGATGAGAGAGGGAGGGAGTGGGTGAGAAAGGTAGGTGGAGAGCATGAAAGGTTCCCCAGTAACACGGAGGGCGACCAAGCCCTCAGTGATCACATGGTACGTTGACAAAACCACACACTAGAAGTTGAAGGGACGACGACGTTTCGGTCCGTCCTGGACCATTCTCAAGTCGATTGTGGTCAACATACTTCAGCCACGTTATTGTGACTCATCGCTTGCATCACATGGTACCACTAACATGTGGGGTAATAACTTACACTTGGAGACGACTGACTTCACGAGACTTCAACAGCTGTAGACTCACTAACACATCATTTGATAATGCTGTTTACAGCTCTCATCACTTGTACACAGACGTGTTTACATTGGTGTTCATAGTATGTTGGAGACAGGGGTTGGGGGGTCAAGAGTCACTTATAGCATGTTGATGTTGGAGGGTGACCTTCCCAAGTGACCTTTCCCAGGTGACCTTCCCCAGGTGACCTTCCCCAGGTGACCTTTCCCAGGTGACGTCTTCAAGTAACTTTCCCCTTTAATGAAATTACGTTAATCAATCACTCTGATTCCACTTAACAAGGCGTTGAATTCTAAGCCCAAAGGTTCCGTGTCGCCTCAACCCCCGACAACAACAGGTTCCGTGTCACCACAACCCCAGACACCAACAGGTTCCGTGTCGCCACAACCCCGACATCAACAAGTTCCGTGTCGCCACAACCCCGACATCAACAGGTTCCGTGACGCCTCAACCCTGTCACCAACAGGTTCCGTGTCACTACAACCCCGACACCAACAGGTTCCGTGTCGCCACAACCCCGACATCAACAAGTTCCGTGTCACCACAACCCCCGACACCAACAGGTTCCGTGTCGCCACAACCCCGACACCAACAGGTTCCGTGTCACCACAACCCCCGACACCAACAAGTTCCGTGTCGCCACAACCCCCGACAACAACAGGTTCCGTGTCGCCACAACCCCAGACACCAACAGGTTCCGTGTCGCCACAACCCCGACACCAACAGGTTCCGTGTCGCCACAACCCCGACAACAACAGGTTCCGTGTCGCCTCAACCCCCGACACCAACAGGTTCCGTGTCACCACAACCCCCGAAACCAACAAGTTCCGTGTCACCACAACCCCCGAAACCAACAAGTTCCGTGTCGCCACAACCCCGACACCAACAGGTTCCGTGTCGCCACAACCCCAGACACCAACAGGTTCCGTGTCACCACAACCCCCGACACCAACAAGTTCCGTGTCGCCACAACCCCGACAACAACAGGTTCCGTGTCGCCACAACCCCAGACACCAACAGGTTCCGTGTCGCCACAACCCCCGAAACCAACAGGTTCCGTGTCGCCACAACCCCGACACCAACAGGTTCCGTGTCGCCACAACCCCGACAACAACAGGTTCCGTGTCGCCACAACCCCGACACCAACAGGTTCCGTGTCGCCACAACCCCGACAACAACAGGTTCCGTGTCACCACAACCCCCGACACCAACAGGTTCCGTGTCGCCACAACCCCGACACCAACAGGTTCCGTGTCGCCACAACCCCGACACCAACAGGTTCCGTGTCACCACAACCCCAGACACCAACAGGTTCTGTGTCACCACAACCCCCGACATCAACAAGTTCCGTGTCGCCACAACCCCAGACACCAACAGGTTCTGTGTCACCACAACCCCAGACATCAACAAGTTCCGTGTCACCACAACCCCCGACACCAACAAGTTCCGTGTCGCCACAACCCCCGACACCAACAGGTTCCGTGTCGCCACAACCCCAGACACCAACAGGTTCCGTGTCGCCACAACCCCAGACACCAACAGGTTCCGTGTCCCTTCACAACCCCGTCAACAAACCTCTGGTGTGAGACCTGAGAGTCATCGCCTGTGGGATGCTAATTTAACTTTGCGAATTAGCAAGATGCCTCCCTGTGATTTAGCATTAAACACCCGCCTAACTACCTGCATTTTTGATGGGGAAATTTTGCATTTTTATTGTTGGCTGAAACGTTTTGTATTTCAACTGGCGAATGTATTTTTATAGTGTGGTTGGGGGTTTGTATACTTTTTAATGATTTGAGTTATGAGGGGGCCTCGTAGCCTGGTGGATAGCGCGCAGGACTCGTAATTCTGTGGCGCGGGTTCGATTCCCGCACGAGGCAGAAACAAATGGGCAAAGTTTCTTTCACCCTGAATGCCCCTGTTACCTAGCAGTAAATAGGTACCTGGGTGTTAGTCAGCTGTCACGGGCTGCTTCCTGGGGGTGGAGGCCTGGTCAAGGACCGGGCCGCGGGGACACTAAAGCCCCGAAATCAACTCAAGATAACCTCAAGATAACCATCAACTCAAGATATATAAAAATAAAAAGATTTTTGTTTCGTTCTAAATCTAGTTTTTGTTTTATCTTTATAATGAACATAGAAATGTTCGCGCTTTTAAAGACTTCGAAAGTATTCAATAGTTCTTCAGTTACCTTTGTATTTAATGAATGTAATTAGTGGCTTTTTATGTAATGGATATATCTATAAGTATGGATATTTTTAAAGTATTTTAAAATTTACATATCAAGTTTTTTTTTAGCTTTAGTATTGAAAACAAACTATTATTATGCCTTTGTTGAAGGATATTTAACTCCTACAGGAATGTCTGGAAGATCTGCAAGTAATGATACCGAGAACTATTACGTTTAAAACAAAAATAAAGTAATTGTCACAGGAAAAATTATAGATTGAGTAACAAGAATTTTCCACACGGGACACACGGAGACTGAGTACCCAAATGAGCCACAGGGACGTTAGAAAGATTTTTTTCAGTGTCAGAGTAGTTACTAAATGGAATGCACTAGGCAGTGATGTGGTGGAGGCTGACTCCATACACAGTTTCAAATGTAGATGTGATAGAGCTCAGTAGGCTATCTATACACCGGTTGAATGACAGTTGAGAGGCGGGAGCAAGGAGCCGAAGCTCAACCCCCGCAAGCACAACTAGGTGAGTACACGAGAACTTTCCACACAAGAACCTTTCAAACTACATTTTTGTCATTAACTAACAACAACTAACAAGAAATCAACAAAATAAGAACCAAATAAATAGGAATTTAACAAACAAGAACCCAACAAAAAAGTGCTAATAATCAAGACCAAGAATATTACCCCTTAGTTAATGGTCACGTTTACAATCCCTCAAACTGAACCCCATTAGTTAATGGTCACGTTTATAATCATTCAGACTCTACCCCCTTTGTTAAATGTCAAGTTTGTGGTCCTCAAAGTGTACCCCTTAGTTAATAGTTACGCTTATAGTCCCTCAAAGTGTACCCCTTTAGTTAATGGTCACGTTTATAATCCCACACAGTGTACCCACCTAGCTAATAGTCAGGATTTTAATCCCAAAACTGTTCACACTTTAGTTAATAGTCACGCTTGCGATCCCACAAAGTGCATCACTAATAGTGGTAGACTTTGTGGGATTGCACTCTTAATCATAGGAGTCACTCTTGTGACTAGTTAATAGTCACTCTTGTAGGCCCACAGACTACCCCTGGATGCCTCACAGAGAGACCCGGTACCATTGTGCACACTGAAACAATCTCTGACGAGAGCAATAGTGGAATAATTATTTAGTACAGCAGTAAGCCAGCATAATTATGGAGCACTTGAGAGGGGCATAGTTATGGGCTGAGGCAATGCGCTGAGATATGAAGATGGTGGGAAAGACCATCGGGGATCGAACCCTCCCTTGCAAGAAGCGAGGCTGTTATCTTGAGGTTATCTTGAGATGATTTCGGGGCTTTAGTGTCCCCGCGGCCCGGTCCTCGACCAGGCCTCCACCCCCAGGAAGCAGCCCGTGACAGCTGACTAACACCCAGGTACCTATTTTACTGCTAGGTAACAGGGGTAACATAGGGTGAAAGAAACTCTGCCCATTGTTTCTCACCGGCGCCTGGGATCGAACCCAGGACCACAGGATCACAAGTCCAGCGTGCTGTCCGCTCGGCCGACCGGCTCCCTACGGGGAGCCGGTCGGAGCTCCCTCCCTCCTGTTGTTTTACCGACCTGTCCAAGATGTGCAATAGGTTCACTAAATATCAAGTCTATACACGAAAAGTCCCGAAGGAGTTACTCTGTCCTAATTTTAAATATAAGGAAAATTGCCGTCAAAAAATTAGGTATTTCAATTAACAATTTCAAGAAGAAAATAAATACCTATAATATTTGATCCACCGGGCTGTTGGTGCCTACGGCTAGTGGAGCTACAGGAACCACCAGGTTAGGGGAGGGAGCTAATAAGAAATGGAGAAAGACAGACGTATTGATAAATGAGATGCAGGAAGAGGGGATTGAAAGGGTTGAGGAGAGTGGAGACACGGGATTGAGAGGACTGAACAAGGGATGAAACAACGGTGGAAAGGAGACTGAAAGGGTAAATTGAGACTAAGGGAGAAAGAGTGGCACTAATGGGGAAAGGATGACTGAAGGGGCAAGATGAACTAATGGGGAAAAGGGTGACTAAAGGGGCAAGATGAACTAATGGGGAAAAGAGTGACTGAAGGGGCAAGATGAACTAATGGGGAAAAGGGTGACTAAAGGGGCAAGATGAACTAATGGGGAAAAGGGTGACTAAAGGGGCAAGATGAACTAATGGGGAAATGGGTGACTGAAGGGGCAAGATGAACTAATGGGGAAAAGTGTGAGTGAAGAGGCAAGAGGAACTGATGGGAAAAAGGTGACTAAAGGGGCAAGATGTACTAATGGGAAAAGTGTGAGTAAAGGGGCAAGATGAACTAATGGGAAAAGTGTGAGTGAAGGGGCAAGAGGAACTGATGGGAGAAGAATAAGAGAGGGCAGGTCGGGAGGTTATCTCCCAGAGAGAGGCAAGAAGATGCCAAAAGATTTTTCCATCACCTCGGGGGATTTCAATCATAAAACTTTACGATGGGGTGTGGAGCGGCGCTAATGTGAGAAATATTGCCTTCCCCTTCACCCCACAGTCTGCTGGATCAACACATAAACGAACAGTAAATGAATACATGCGCATGCATTATTAAATAGCAATCAATCAAAAGCTTCATTCATAAATGATTGTTCTTTACAATTGGGAAGTTGATATTAAAGTACAGTATAATAATTACATAAAAGAGTAACATCAACAGAACAATACGTAGACACTGTCATTATCACAAGCACAAACTTAATACTTTACAACTTACACAACTTACTACAATACTGACTGGACTAAACTGGTGTAGAACAATCTTAATCAAACTTACATGTTAGGCATAAGATGAGTGATATTTAGTTAACAACTTGAACAATTATATGTATAGTAAAGATAAAGGGAAGTTTAACATTAGAGCGGTAAGTCATGTATTGGTAACATTAATATCACAACATTAGGACGATGAGACAAATATGATTAGAGTAATATAAATTAGTCATACCATGATGATATAGATACATGCATCTATAGCCTATAGCTCAGCCTTCTATATCAAAAGAATCTGGGATTATCCCGGCTCAAAATCACTCCAAACACACACACACACACACACACACACACACACACACACACACACACACAACCTCGTGGGGGCCTCGTAGCCTGGTGGATAGCGCGCAGGACTCGTAATTCTGTGGCGCGGGTTCGATTCCCGCACGAGGCAGAAACAAATGGGCAAAGTTTCTTTCACCCTAAGTGCCCCTGTTACCTAGCAGTAAATAGGTACCTGGGAGTTAGTCAGCTGTCACGGGCTGCTTCCTGGGGTGTGTGTGGTGTGGAAAAAAAAAAAAAAAAAAAAAAAAAAAAGTAGTTAGTAAACAGTTGATTGACAGTTGAGAGGCGGGCCGAAAGAGCAAAGCTCAACCCCCGCAAAAACACAACTAGTAAACACAACTAGTAAACACAACTAGTAAACACACAGGTCGTGTGGCAGGGCGAGGGCGAGACAGCTAGGCACGTCTCCTTGCACCCATTGCCTCTGTTCACCTAGCAGTAATTAGGAACTTGGTTGTTAGTCGACCGTTGTGGGTCGCTTTCTGAGGAATGGTCAAATACTGTTCATATTCGAGAAAACTTCGAATTTCCCACAAAACATGGAAACCCAGATAAATAGGCGAGTACACACACACACACACACACACACACACACACACACACACACACACACACACACACACACACACACACACACACACACACCATATAAAATCCATCTGACTTCATTTGGACTCAAAATGCCTGATAATAATACATCTTTCTGTGACAGTAGTTCCTTAATTAATGATTCGAAAAATAAAATAAAAATGTCTCCCTGATGACGAGTTGTGTTATCATGTAATGTACACCCGCTACACCATTCAAGATAGCACTCATTCTTAAGTTGTATTTCCTAACAATTACGTTTATAATTCTTGAAGAGTACGGGTGGTCAGTGGTAAGTGGATGTGTGCTTCCTTTCACACAAAATGATATCATTCGTATGTGACTTATTTCCTCATGTGTGGGGGTGGACATGAGGCCAGGCAGGACATGAGGCCAGGCAGGACATGGGTGTGGACATGAGGCCAGGCAGGACATGGGGGTGGACATGAGGCCAGGCAGGACATTGCAATGAGTGCCAGTATGGACACCCAACCTGGATGGGGTTCTGGGAGTTCTTCTACTCCCCAAGCCCGGCCCGGGGCCATAATTTGACTTTCAACCAGGTATCCGGAATTCATTAATGAGGACATTTGTTCTGACCTTCAACTCTGTAATAGCATAAGAAAAATTAGCAAATAGGACCTTTGAGGATATACTTTGTCCCAGACTGCTTTTAGAATACTTTACTCGAATCTCTTTGCGTCGTATTTTTTAGAATTGTGATCCCGATAAAACGAGTCTTGTAAGTTAAAAGAAACCACCACTTGGTAGGATTGAACGTTGGGGTGTATTGTGCATCTCTTTCACACATTTCTGTCAATGATTCTCCCCTAGCGTGTGTGGTGGGTGTGTGTGTAGAACTAGGTGTGTGTAGAACTAGGTGTGTGTGGTGGGTGTGTGTGTAGAACTAGGTGTGTGTAGAACTAGGTGTGTGTGGTGGGTGTGTGTGTAGAACTAGGTGTGTGTGGTGGGTGTGTGTGTAGAACTAGGTGTGTGTAGAACTAGGTGTGTGTGGTGGGTGTGTGTGTAGAACTAGGTGTGTAGAACTAGGTGTGTGTGTAGAACTAGGTGTGTGTGTAGAACTAGGTGTGTGTGGTGGGTGGGTGTGTAGAACTAGGTGTGTGTGTAGAACTAGGTGTTTGTGGTGGGTGGGTGTGTAGAACTAGGTGTGTGTAGAACTAGGTGTGTGTAGAACTAGGTGTGTGTAGAACTAGGTGTGTAGAACTAGGTGTGTGTAGAACTAGGTGTGTGTAGAACTAGGTGTGTGTAGAACTAGGTGTGTGTAGAACTAGGTGTGTAGAACTAGGTGTGTGTAGAACTAGGTGTGTGTAGAACTAGGTGTGTGTAGAACTAGGTGTGTGTAGAACTAGGTGTGTGTAGAACTAGGTGTGTGTGGTGGGTGTGTGTGTAGAACTAGGTATGTGTGGTGGGTGTGTGTAGAACTAGGTGTGTGTGGTGGGTGGGTGTAGAACTAGGTGTGTGTGGTGGGTGGGTGTAGAACTAGGTGTGTATGGTGGATGGGTGTAGAACTAGGTGTGTGTGGTGGGTGTGTGTAGAACTAGGTGTGTGTGGTGGGTGTGTGTGTAGAACTAGGTGTGTGTGGTGGGTGTGTGTAGAACTAGGTGTGTGTGGTGGGTGGGTGTAGAACTAGGTGTGTGTGGTGGGTGTGTGTGTAGAACTAGGTATGTGTGGTGGGTGTGTGTAGAACTAGGTGTGTGTGGTGGGTGTGTGTAGAACTAGGTGTGTGTGGTGGGTGTGTGTAGAACTAGGTGTGTGTGGTGGGTGGGTGTAGAACTAGGTGTGTGTGGTGGGTGGGTGTAGAACTAGGTGTGTGTGGTGGGTGTGTGTGTAGAACTAGGTGTGTGTGGTGGGTGTGTGTAGAACTAGGTGTGTGTGGTGGGTGGGTGTAGAACTAGGTGTGTGTGGTGGGTGTGTGTGTAGAACTAGGTGTGTGTGGTGGGTGTGTGTAGAACTAGGTGTGTGTGGTGGGTGGGTGTAGAACTAGGTGTGTGTGGTGGGTGTGTGTAGAACTAGGTGTGTGTGGTGGGTGTGTGTAGAACTAGGTGTGTGTGGTGGGTGTGTGTAGAACTAGGTGTGTGTGGTGGGTGGGTGTAGAACTAGGTGTGTATGGTGGGTGTAGAACTAGGTATGTGTGGTGGGTGTGTGTAGAACTAGGTGTGTGTGGTGGGTGTGTGTAGAACTAGGTGTGTGTGGTGGGTGGGTGTAGAACTAGGTGTGTATGGTGGATGGGTGTAGAGATCACCAATATAATATACTGGCCTTAGTACTGCCTCTGAGACAGCCAGTTCTAGCGGCTCTCAACGCCCTCAACAACCACTCAAGATAAACAGGAAGCCAAACTGGACCTTAATTGTGTGACGCCATTTTTAGGAAGAAATTATCGGAGAGGAATTACTCCATTTCAGAGCTGATTTGCGTGCGTGATTAGAAACATGTAAATATCTAGCGATTAAATAACACAGGGGGAAGTGAAAGGAACTATCAGGAGAATGCGCCGAATCATTACAACAATATAGCACTGGGAAAGGGTCAGGATAAGGATTTGGGATGGGACGGGGTGAAGGAATGGTGCCCAATCACTTGGACGGTCGGGAATTGAACGCCGACCTGCATAAAGTGGATGAACCTTCGCTCTACAGTCCAGCCCACGTGGACTAAATAACAAATAAACGCAGATAAATGATAATGACGTTTAAACAGACCATACAATTTAACTAAAGATTAACAATAGTTATCGAAAGCGATATTCGCTTTCATTTACTCATGTGTGTATTAAAAAAATTATTTTTTAATTTTAGCAACATTGTAAAATAAAAAGTATAAGTTATGAGGAAATTACTGGAGCCCTTTGCTGGATATTTTTTACTGCGCTGAAACGTTGCAGGTTTGAGCTAAGGTCAAGGGTCATCAAGGGTCATTGTCAGTGCAGGGGTCAAGGGTCATTGTCAGTGTAGGGGTCAAGGGTCATTGTCAGTGTTGGGGTCATGGTGAGGGACGAAGGTCAGAGTCAAGGTCAGGAGGATGGTGAAGGTCAGGAGGATGGTGAAGGTCAGGAGGATGGTGAAGGTCAGGAGGATGGTGAAGGTCAGGAGGATGGTGAAGGTCAGGACGATGGTGAAGGTCAGGAGGATGGTGAAGGTCAGGACGATGGTGAAGGTCAGGAGGATGGTGAAGGTCAGGACGATGGTGAAGGTCAGGAGGATGGTGAGGGTTAGGAGGATGGTGAGGGTTAGGAGGATGGTGAAGGTCAGGACGATGGTGAAGGTCAGGACGATGGTGAGGGTCAGGAGGATGGTGAGGGTCAGGAGGATGGTGAAGGTCAGGACGATGGTGAAGGTCAGGAGGATGGTGAAGGTCAGGAGGATGGTGAGGGTCAGGAGGATGGTGAGGGTCAGGACGATGGTGAAGGTCAGGACGATGGTGAAGGTCAGGACGATGGTGAGGGTCAGGAGGATGGTGAAGGTCAGGAGGATGGTGAAGGTCAGGACGATGGTGAAGGTCAGGAGGATGGTGAAGGTCAAGAGGATGGTGAAGGTCAGGAGGATGGTGAAGGTCAGGAGGATGGTGAAGGTCAGGAGGATGGTGAAGGTCAGGACGATGGTGAAGGTCAGGACGATGGTGAAGGTCAGGACGATGGCGAAGGTCAGGAGGATGGCGAAGGTCAGGAGGATGGTGAGGGTCAGGAGGATGGTGAGGGTCAGGAGGATGGTGAAGGTCAGGAGGATGGTGAAGGTCAGGAGGATGGTGAAGGTCAGGACGATGGTGAAGGTCAGGACGATGGCGAAGGTCAGGAGGATGGTGAAGGTCAGGAGGACGATGGTGAAGGTCAGGACGATGGTGAAGGTCAGGAGGATGGTGAAGGTCAGGACGATGGTGAAGGTCAGGAGGATGGTGAGGGTTAGGAGGATGGTGAGGGTTAGGAGGATGGTGAAGGTCAGGACGATGGTGAAGGTCAGGACGATGGTGAGGGTCAGGAGGATGGTGAGGGTCAGGAGGATGGTGAAGGTCAGGAGGATGGTGAAGGTCAGGAGGACGATGGTGAAGGTCAGGAGGACGATGGTGAAGGTCAGGACGATGGTGAAGGTCAGGAGGATGGTGAAGGTCAGGAGGATGGTGAAGGTCAGGAGGATGGTGAGGGTCAGGAGGATGGTGAAGGTCAGGAGGATGGTGAGGGTCAGGAGGATGGTGAAGGTCAGGAGGATGGTGAGGGTCAGGAGGATGGTGAGGGTCAGGAGGATGGTGAAGGTCAGGAGGATGGTGAAGGTCAGGAGGATGGTGAGGGTCAGGAGGATGGTGAAGGTCAGGAGGATGGTGAGGGTCAGGAGGATGGTGAAGGTCAGGAGGATGGTGAGGGTCAGGAGGATGGTGAGGGTCAGGACGATGGTGACGGTCAGGACGATGGTGAGGGTCAGGACGATGGTGAAGGTCAGGACGATGGTGAGGGTCAGGACGATGGTGAAGGTCAGGACGATGGTGAAGGTCAGGACGATGGTGAAGGTCAGGATGATGCTGAAGATCAGGACGATGGTGAGGGTCAGGACGATGGTGAAGGTCAGGACGATGGTGAAGGTCAGGAGGATGGTGAAGGTCAGGACGATGGTGAAGGTCAGGACGATGGTGAAGGTCAGGACGATGGTGAAGGTCAGGACTAGGGGGGGGTCAACGTTACAGACATGATAAAAGGTTCAACTTTTTTCGAAAAAAAATGAGATTTCTCATTAAAGTTGAATGAATTTATTTCATTTTATTTCCATGAAATGTTTGAAGTTCTTGTCCCTCTGTCTGGCTGTGTGTCTACCTATTTACGTGTCTGTATCTGTCTGTCCGTCTGGCTGTCTACCTATATATCTACTTGTCTGCTTATCAATCTTTCAGCCGGGATCTATCAACATATCTATCTGCCTCTTGGGCTGTCGACCTATATGTCTATCAGTCTCTTTGGCAATGTGTCTAACTATTTAGCTGTCTGTATGGATGTTTGACTGTCAGTCTGTCATTATGATGTTATGTAAAAAGATAGAGATAAGTCCAATTTTATTTATTCTCAAGAAAATGGTGACACAAAAGTTCCTTGCCTCTCTTAACCTGCTTCGATCTGCGCCAGTTATGGCTTTCCTCCTCACGTCTGCTTCCTTCTTCAGGCGCTACAGTATTAACTCAGGACACTTCTGCTTCCTGCGGGTATTGTGTGGGCCTCGGCACCCCCCAAGACCTTCCTTCCCCTCGGTGGCAGGTCAGTCCAAGCGTGATGGTGGTGTCACTGATGGTGATGTCTTACCCATATCTATAAAACAGAACGTCTGTTTGTCCGAATTAGATGCTTGTGGCTCGCCTCGGCCAAGCTTTCACACATGAAACATGGGGGGTATGGGAGTGACATAGGCCAATCGGGGTCGACATAAGTGAGACTCTCCTGCGATTTTCATGAAGTCACAAATAAAATCGGAAATGCGTTTTCTGTAAAGTTTTAAATCTTACTTCCTCCGTATTTTTATGGTTTACTCGGAAAGAGATAACGTCAATTCATTCGGGTTGAGAGGAGAAAGGTGGAGAGGTGGGAAATGGGGGAAGGGAGAGGACAAGAAAGGCAGAGTGTGGGGGAGAGAGAGGAGAAAGGTGAAGAGGGATTAGAGATTGAGAGGGAGAAGAGGGGAATACGGAAGGAAAGGGGAAAAGGGAAGAAATGTGAGGGGGGGATGATGTGGAATAGGGGGAAGAGAGGGAAGGTGATAAGGAAAGAGAGAGGAAGATATTGGGAGAAAGAGAGAGAGAGAGAGAGAGAGAGAGAGAGAGAGAGAGAGAGAGAAAAGAGGCCTGTGAGAAGCCGGGTACCCCATCAAATATGATATATATATATATATATATATATATATATATATATATATATATATATATATATATATATATATATATATATATATATATATATATATATATATATATATATATATATATATATATATATATATATATATATATATATATATATATATATATTAATTTAAAGTCAATGCCGTAGGCCAGTCCACCAAGCTAACACAACAGCATTTATGCTTCAGGCAAATGAACAAATGGGATGAATTTGTCCATTCTCTCCTGCTTGTTATTTTTGTGGGAGCAAAAGCGAGGGTTTTGAAGGCAATATTCGATGATATATCTACAGCTCTTATTTTTCGGCGCACGATATTCCAAACCCATACAGAAATATGTGGCCATAGCCACATACAAATGAAAAGGTCTGAACATTTTATTTCATATGTATTTGTGGGGATTGATATATATATATATATATATATATATATCAATTTAATCGTTGGTTTAATTTTCTGTATTTACTATTCGATATGTTTGCTGGATCGATAGTCACTAATGTGATTAAATTTAATCGATTATTTCTCAAACTAAATTTGTTAAAAAAAATTAACATTTGATCTTTACAGTTAATTGTAAGAAAATGTAATTAATTTATTAATGAATGCTTCACAAATATATATGTGGTTAAAGTTATTCAGTGATATAGAGGGAGAGAGAAGGCCAGACTGCCTAGTGCTGCTCGCCTGGAGGTTATCTTGGTTATCTTGAGATGATTTCGGGGCTTTTTTAGTGTCCCCGTGGCCCGGTCCTCGACCAGGCCTTCACCCCCAGGAAGCAGCCCGTGACAGCTAACACCCAGGTACCTATTTTACTGATAGGTAACAGGGGCATTGTGTGAAAGAAACTCTGCCCATTGTTTCTCGCCGGCGCCTGGGATCGAACCCAGGACCACAGGATCACAAGTCCAGCGTGCTGTCCGCTCGGCCTTGATCTTGGAGACACCAAGATCAATTATATTTCTCAACAAAGCTACAACACGCTCTCAGGGGTAAGGTGTTGATGCTTCATAAACCTACTGGAATATACATGAACGTAACGACACATGGAATGTGTCATGTGTCCCACGGAGCGATACATGTGTCCCAGGGAGCGATACATGTGTCCCAGGGAGCGATACATGTGTCCCACGGAGCGATACGTGTGTCCCAGGGAGCGATACACGTGTCCCACGGAGCGATACATGTGTCCCAGGGAGCGATACATGTGTCCCAGGGAGCGATACGTGTGTCCCAGGAAGCGATACATGTGTCCCAGGGAGCGATACATGTGTCCCAGGGAGCGATACATGTGTCCCACGGAGCGATACGTGTGTCCCACGGAGCGACACGTGTGTCCCAGGGAGCGATACATGTGTCCCAGGGAGCGATACATGTGTCCCAGGGAGCGATACATGTGTCCCAGGGAGCGATACATGTGTCCCAGGGAGCGATACATGTGTCCCAGGGAGCGATACATGTGTCCCAGGGAGCGACACGTGTGTCCCAGGGAGCGATACATGTGTATCAGGGGAGCGACACATGTGTCACTACTGCTGCTGTCATCAGCCTCCGCACTAGCAGCTGACGCAACACTTATGATATCATGTGATATAATGTGTTTTTGTTTCATCTTATGTTTGTTTGTCTTAGAGAACATTTACTCTGTCTTTCCTTAACAAAATTTTATACACGAAGGAATTTGTTTCTCATTTATCTAAATGAAATTGATTATGAAGGGTAAACTACACAAAATGATAACACTAAGTATTAAAATACAGACTTCTTTTTTTAATGAAACTCTCAAGAAAGTATAAGTTTGGATAACGTAACCTGACATAACAGGGAGAGAGATGAGCAACTTAGCAATAACGTTTTGCAAGGAATTTCATTAGTGGCACTTGGAGGTGCTAGTGAGAGAGTGAGAGAGAGAGAGAGAGAGAGAGAGAGAGAGAGAGAGAGAGAGAGAGAGAGAGAGAGAGAGAGAGAGAGAGAGAGAGAGAGTGTCTGGACTGTGGGAGAAGGCTTACATGCTTTACTTCACCCTAAATATTGCAAGGAGCAGCGAACTACTCGACAAGTACTTACCTTGTTTGGTTTGAAATTATCAGAGACAGACAGTAAATAAAGCATATCTTAGAGGGTATTAGGAGAATTTAAGGAGAAGTTGTTTGCACGAGTGCGATAACTATGTAACTATACCCTGTTGTTCACTTGCATCTTGGCAGGTGTTTCAAGCGACAAGATGACTGCCTCGATGCCAACAATGTTCTGCAATTGGTCAGTTTGGTTAATGTTCTAACACGAAGACTTCGCTTACGGCCGTTCACACCAGACTTGGTCAAGACTAGAGATGAGCCTTCTTGCATGTCTCTCTGCATAGTCCAACAGTCTGATGAATGATGGGGGCCAGGCGATCCAGGAAAGGGGTGCATGTTCTCTCTCTCTCTCTCTCTCTCTCTCTCTCTCTCTCTCTCTCTCTCTCTCTCTCTCTCTCTCTCTCTCTCTCTCTCTCTCTCTCTCTCTCTCTCTCTCTCTCTCTCTCTCTCTCTCTCATGCCTCTTTTTAAAATTTAATGAAACTTTGTTATAGTTAAGGGCTTGAGACGAGCGTTCTCAAGTACCACAAAACTTCAAGGAATGATCTAAGAAAAAGGGAGCTTCGAGGCTTCTTGAGCCCGACACGCGCTCAGAGCTCCAAGACTTTAGAGCTACAGAGCTCCGAGGCTCAGGTCACAACTTGGTAAAAAGTGAGCAAAAAGTATTCCATCATAGTTCTTCTTTATAATTATGTTCCTAGCAGTGAAGGGCTTGCTAGTATCAGTGTGGAACTATCGCTCGGGTCACTATTGTGGGGACTATCGCTCGGGTCACTATTGTGGGGACTATCGCTCGGGTCACTATTATTTTTTACCGGAAAACCGAAACATTTTTTATCTGAACAGCAATTTTTACTTGATATTTCGTTGTCATCACCGTCTCCCATATTATCGTCGTCTGACTTGTTTTGCGAAACCCTGAATATCTCCCTTGTCTTACAGGGAAGATATTCAG